GTTTTATTTCTTTTTTTTTTTTTTTTAAGATTTTACCTACTTAGCAGGGGGAGGAGCAGAGGAAGAGGGACAAGCAGACTGCATGCTGAGTGCAGAGCCAGATGCAGACCTCGGTCCCACAACCCTGAGATCATGACCTGAGCTAAAATCAAGAGTCAGATATATAACCAGCTGAGCCACCCAGGCGCGCCTACTTTTTATTTTTTTAAAGTTTAAGTAATCTCTACACCCAACATGGGGCTTGAACTCACACCCCAGAGATCGAGAGTCCCATGCTCTACCCACTGAGCCAGCCAGGTGCCCCATCTCTTACTTTTAAAATTGTATTCTGAATCCTCATTCTGGACTCTTAATATTTTTTTAAAGATTTTATTTACTTATTTGAGCAAGAGTACTCGCTCGTTCACAGGGAAGAAGGGGCAGAGGGGGAGGGAGAGGGACAAGCAGACTCTGCGCCCAGTGCAGAGCCAACATGGTGCTTGATCTCAGGACCCTGACATCAGGACCCGAGCCAAAACCGAGAGTCAGACGCCCAGTGGACTGAGTCACCTAGGCGCCCCTGGACTATTGCTATTTTTAAAAACCCGTCTGTTCCCCTACTCCCACTGTAGATTTACCTCTGGTCATCTAAAGGAAATGGGAAAGTTACAGCTTTTGATTTTCTTTCAGTTTTGACCATGCTGACCAATGAAACTGGCTTTGAGATCAGTTCTTCTGATGCTACAGTGAAGATTCTCATTACAACAGTGCCACCCAATCTCCGAAAACTGGACCCAGAACTCCATTGTTAGTTTTTTTTCTATTGCTGGGATAGCTGGGGGAAAATCAAAACATGGTATAAAGTTGTTGTTGAGTTTACTTATTAGCTTGTTGCTATTCCACGTGAAACTTTCTGGACCTAAGTTGACCAGACTTTGTTGTCTCCCTCTTTAGTAATGTGGGGAGTTTTACCAGCTCGCTAGTGAAATTGTCACAGGGGATGGCTAAGAAAGCAGCTGGAGTGGAGGACTTAAGAAGGACTGAGGAAATATTTATGGAGGGAGTAGGCTCTTGGAGAAAGTGGTGGATCTTGCATGCTTGTAGATTTGATTTGGGGGAGGAGTAGTGATTTTTGGACAAGTGATTTGCTTGCTGATCTGAGGAACATGGGGTGGTTTAAGAAATTAGGAAGTTATCCTGTCTTCCTTCCAAGTTCTTGGACTGTGGCAACGGGGTTGAATTGCTTAATAACGGGAGTGTTTCAGTGTGGCCTGTCCTGCTTGTCTTCTAGTGGATATCAAGGTGTTGCAGAGTGCCTTAGCAGCCATCAGACATGCCCGTTGGTTTGAGGAAAATGCTTCTCAGTCCACGTGAGTCACTATTTTGAGTTAAAATAATCTAATCCTTCTAATTAGCAGTGAGTAGCCAGATCCCCCATACTTCCTGTGTTAGAACTTTTTTGGCTGTAAGTCAGGGCTGTTTTTTGGTGGTGATGGTGGGGGTGGGTTAACAAATTTAGATTGAAAGAAACAATGTGTAGTTTTGGAAATAGCATCCGCTCTGTACCTCAGGGATGGAAGCACATGATCTTATTCCTTTTAATCTCTGGGTCCCTCTTACCTTCAGAGTTAAAGTTCTCATCAGACTGCTGAAAGACCTGAGGATTCGTTTTCCTGGCTTTGAGCCCCTCACACCCTGGATCCTTGACCTGCTCGTAAGTGAAGAAGGGCAATTGGGAGTTCCTGCTCATCCCTCTTTAACAGTAGTTATTCTGAAACCTATCAGGGTCTGAAATTTGGTGAAGCTGAAAATAAATTTCATGGTGGGCAGGTAATTCAGTAAATACTCAAGGTTTATTACTTCCTTAGGTTTTTGGAGTATTCAATTGAATGAGTAATTGGCTGCCCCTATGCCTTTTTGTTACTGATGTCATTTCAATAATGTGATGATGAGAGGAAATTACTGAATGAACAGCCATTTCAGAATGCTTCTGAACTTTATAGCTAGGCCTTAATAACCAGTTTTCTCTTTGATGGTTTAAAGTTTGAGCTTATTTGGCTAGATATGCCAAGTTTATGGCACACCTACCAGATTGTTTATTTTCCAGGGGCACTATGCCGTGATGAACAATCCCACCAGACAGCCTTTGGCCCTAAATGTGGCATACAGGTATAACAAGCTGCTTTGGGTTTGGGGCTGGATATAAGTTGTCTTCTGTGTTCTTTTAATGTTCTTGTGTGTTTCAGGCGTTGCTTACAGATTCTGGCTGCAGGACTGTTCCTGCCAGGGTCAGTGGGTATCACTGACCCCTGTGAGAGTGGTAACTTCAGAGTACACACAGTCATGACTCTGGAACAACAGGTATTGGGACAGCTCTGATATGGTCTGTTGGGCCCCACTCGACTACTCTAGGTCAGAAGGCAAAGGGAATATGGTCTTTAGGGGTCAGGATTTAGGGGTTCTCACAGACTTTCGTCTTGAAATTAAAGTTGTCTTCATCTTTTTTTTTCATGAGAATGTTCATCAGATAAGGTACTTTGATTCATCTTGCTAGTTTACTCTCACTTTGCTCTCCTTTAGGACATGGTGTGCTACACAGCTCAGACTCTGGTCCGAATCCTCTCACATGGTGGTTTTCGGAAGATTCTTGGCCAGGAGGGTGATGCCAGCTGTGAGTGATCACTGTGGGTCAGGGGTTCTTTATGCTACTCTGTGGTCTGCAAAGAAGTACTGCACTACTCAGATGTCTTGATATTTCTACTGTGTAGATCACGACTTGTATGCTGGGCTACTTGGCCTGAAATCACTTTTTCTTTTCTAGATCTTGCTTCTGAAATATCTACCTGGGATGGAGTGATAGTGACACCTTCAGAAAAGGCTTATGAGAAGCCACCAGAGAAGAAGGAAGGGGAGGAAGAAGAGGAGAATACAGAAGAACCACCTCAAGGAGAGGAAGAGGAAAGCATGGAGACTCAGGAGTGACCTTCCTTTCTCTTCACCCCCTTTCTTTTCCAAGGGGAAGACTGTAGCCTAAGCTAACTGCTCCTGGGCTTTATATGGTGGCATTTCTGAGGGATAGGGGAGACAGGGAAAATAAACTCTATAGAAGGAAGTGTCATTCCACTGGGTTCTGATTGGCTCAGTAGCCAGAAGTCTCCCATTTATGACCTATGCCATCCATCATCTATAATGAAGCAGGATACCAGCTTTTCTTCCTAAGACTTCGGAGAACCCAGTTCCTGGAAACCTCTCTCAACCAGTATTTTGTTGTTGTGAACTGTTAGTGTCTGGATTTTTTTTTTTTTTTCCTAAGAAAAAGATTAAAGTACTTCCTAGTAGGGCTCTTGGTCTTGTTTTTCCTTGGTATCTGGCAACCTTTTTTGCTTTCTGTATTCTTCAGTGAAAGTGATACTTGAATCTTTTCATTGTAAACACTAGATCACAATTTGAAGCTATATTTGAATTAAAGTACAAAGACTTGGGTACAAAGACTCTTGGAACCTTTTCATATACCAGAGTAAACAAAACACTGTTTAAGCATTTATTGGATTATATGGTTCTAGCTGTGCTGCTACTATATTTAAGCCACGTGCAATCAACAAAAGAGGGTAGACAGGAGTCATTCCCTGGACTTTGCCTGCCCTCTTCTCCAAATCCTCTGTAAACAAAAGGAAAAAAGCCACAAGTAGAGGACATGCAACAGAACAGAACTAGGCCTGAAGGTAGAGGAGCTGGGTCTTGAGTATGTAGAGGCCTCAGCTCATTCTTGGAAGCAAGAGCCATAATAAGTCCTTTGGGATCATTAGTCCTGCTGTATACAGGTTTCTTTGGGACCCCATATAAACAGGTAAGACTTAAGTGCTTCAAAGAGAAACAACAGGGCTGCCTTTTTGATGTCCCAAGGTCTGCAGGGAGTCCTGGAGGAAACAAGGCAGCTCCGGAACAGTACTTGTGCTACTCCGAGGCAATGCATGGGTCCCATCTTCTGGCCTGTTACTTGCTTGGGGAACCAGGCGGGTAAACTCCTGAATCCAGCATTGCCCTCCTGCGGGCTGTTTCCTTGGCCACGCTGTGGTTTAGCCTCCTCAGCCGTTCCTACAAGACAAGATTTGGAATTATAACTGCTCTGTGAAAGGCTTCAGCACTCCCTGTCAACTAGGTGCTGGAAGATACCTTGGGCTTGCTCCCATCTCTAAGGAATGTAAGAATGTACAGGAGAGCAACTGGGTACTGAGAACAAGAGTTCTATCACGGCTGACACTAGTTGACAACTCCCTTTCACTGTGTTGGGGACTTTGGGATGTCCCAGTGGACTTGTAAAGAATCCCTGCTGGCAGGGAATTCTTTTACCTGCGCATTCTGTAGAATGTTGTTGACCAAGACAACTCGCCGCCGGGCATTAAGGAGCTTCTTCACGTAGGGGTCGAGGTCCAGGGCCACTTTTTGATCCTCATTGATTCGGCACAGTTCTGGGGGATGGAAGGAAGGAGCAGCTAACACCTAATGGTTCCCTTCATGTTCGTAGGGAGAGCAGGCTGGTAAATGGGATGCAAACACGCCTGCACCCACACGGGCCGGCCACTAGAAACTCAGGAAAGCAGGAATCCACTGCAGCCCTGAAGCCCTGGAAGCATACGACCGAAACCCACCCCGAGCTCGGCTAAACATGAGGCCCTAAAAGTGCGACGTGAGGCCCTAAAAGTGTGTGGCAGTGTCGCTGGTCTAAGGGGGTGCTTACTCACCAGTAGCTAGGTTGTCAATTTGTTCTCGTAGCTCTACCTGGCTCTCTCTGCAAAGAAGTACGAGGCCCACACTGTCACTTTATGGGACTCGAAAAACCCACTCCCCTAGGGACTCCCCAAGTGCCGGAAGAAGCCATCACCACCCGCGGCTTCCCGCCCACCGGCCCGGCCTCCCGCCAGTCCCACTCGGGACTGGCCCCTTCCGGCATAGGCCCCGCCCCTTCCGGCAACCCGCCTTTCCCCCGAGGAGCGGCCCCGCCCCGCCCCTCCCTCTCGGACCTGACGGCGTGGACGTGAGAGTCCAGCTGCTGCACAGCCGGTCGCAGGAACTCGAGGAGCCCCTCGGCGAAGAGGTCGCGGCCTGCGGGACCTGCCACTGGGGTCCCTGCCCCGGACACAGCGGCGGAACCAGCCGCAGCCATCATGAGCAGCCCTTCCGCCGGGAACGTGCCGCGCGGGCCGCCGGGAACTGGAGTCGCGCTGAAGTGCGCCACCAGGGGACGCCCAGGAGCTGCCGGCTGAACCCAGCCTGGGGACTTCTGGGAAACCGAGTCTCCGCGACCGGGGGCGGGGCGGGCGGAGCGGCAGTTCCTTGGAGGCCCCGGAGAGGCGGTGTTGGGGGGCGTCTCCAGACCGCGGGAGGGCTGGGAGGAGCCATTTTGGGGGCGGCTGTCTTTGGTGTACTGCAAAGGTGAAAAAGAAATGCTTGTCTCCCCGGTTGCGCTTAGCCCTCCCACGCTAACCAGATTGTATTCATCGTATATATAGTTTCAGATTTCTGACTTTGAGAGTGTACTTTTTAATGGCACTGTAGTGTCTACAAAACCGCAGAGGAATATTATTAAGTCTTAAAAGGGAATGCAATTCTGATACATGCGGATGAGCTTTGGAGACTGCTGAGTGAAATAAGCAGAGCAGAAGGACAAATGCTGTCTGGTTATTACATGAAGTACCCAGAGGGGTCAAATTCATGAAGATAGAATGTGGTTTTAGGTCTCTATCAGAACAGGGTTGCCGGGGGAATTACTGTTTAATGGGTAGAGTTTCAGTATGGGATGATTAAAAAATTCTAGAGATGAGTAACGATGACACAGTAATGTGCATTTACTTAGTGCCACTGACCTGTACACTTAAAAATGGGTAAAGGGTAAATTTTATGTGTGTTTTGCCACAGTAAAGCAAAACTTAAAACCTACATGTGTTTCCATATTTTCATTTTTTCCTTCCTTCAAAAAGTTTCCTTAGTTTTGTTGTGTTTTTCATGGCTTTCCAGAGTTTACATGTCTTGTTGAATTCTCAACAAAAGGCACAGTCTCTTAAGCTCTAGAGTGTTCCAGTGGCTCGCAGTCCTGTGGCCCTGGGGTAAGGTGTGTGTAGAAGTGCTCCTGGAGGGCAAAGGGGTCCCCAGAGATAAATGGCACCAGAATGTTCAGCCTTGAGCTTCAACCTCAGGAATAAAAGAGGAGGTGTTTAAATCACTGTGGGAGAGTGGTGGTCCACAGCTGGGAACCCGAGGCTCCAAGTGTGATAACTTTTAAAGCCTTGTACACTTTTTGTTGTTTATTATCTTTATTTCTCTGTATCTTTCCCTCTAGTGATTAGAGCTAAAAGTCTCATGAGAGGCTGGAGGCTTATAATGGGAGTCAGCAACGGGAAGCGGGTAGCTAGGGTAACTACCCTGCTCCACAGTCAGGCCTAGCGAGGGGGAAGCCCAGAGGATAGAGAGTGGTGACAGTGTTGAAGAGGAAGGAATTAAGGGCTAAGTCCTTGAGGCCTGTACTGGAGAGAGAATAAGGGCTGGTCTGGGCAGGGAAAGGAGGTTAGTGGCTCAGTGTCTAGACAAAATGCTCCCAAGTTGGGCCAGAGTCCTTTCAGGTACCTTTTGAAGTAAGGTTGTGAGATTTGGAAAACAGAACAATCAAAAAAATTCTGGGACACTAGGTAAATTTGAATTTCAGATAAACAACATTTTTTTTTTTTTAGATTTTATTTATTTATTTATTTGAGAGAGAGTGGAGAGGGGAGCACAGAGAGTCCCATACTCCCCGCTGAGCATGGGTCCTGATGTGGGCTCGATCTCATGACCCTGAGATCATGACCAAGCCAAAATCAAGAGTCAGACGCCTGGGGCGCCTGGGTGGCTCAGTTAGTTAAGCACCTGCCTTTGGCTCGGGTCATGATCCCAGAGTCCTGGGATCAAGCCTCACATCCGCAGGGAGCCTGCTTCTCCCTCTCCTCCCTGCTGGTGCTCCCTCTCCCTCTCTCTCTCTCTCTCTCTCAAATACATAAATAAAATAAAATCTTAAAAAGAGTTGGACGCCTAACCATTCAGACGCCCCAACAACAAATAATTTTTGAATGTATCTTATCTGGTAATCCTACTTCAAAGGCTGGTTCTCTGAGAAAAATCACTCAGTATTCTGTTTTTAAGCTTTCCTTTCCACACTTCCTATCACCTCCAGTTAGCTCTTATCTCTCATGAGGGCACTGCAACACCTCCTGATTGATCTTCTTGCCTGTAGTCTCTCTACCCTCCAGGTCAATCTGCACTCTATAATATCAGTTACATAATAACCTGCTCAGAGAATACAAATGCTGAAAAGGACTTTGTTGTATTAATTATTTATTTTTAAAGATTTTATTTATTTATTTGAGAGAGAGAGAGCAAGTGAGAGAGAAAGAGCACGAGCATGGGGAGGGGTGGAGGGAGAGAGAGAAGCAGACTTCCTGCTGAGCAGGCAGCTGGATTCCGGTCTTGATCCTAGGCCCCTGGGATCATGACCTGAGCCAAAGGCGGACGCTTAATCAACTGAGCCACCGAGGGGCCTCTATTATTTTTTTTATAGGGGCACCTGGGTGGCTCAGTTGGTTAAGCAACTGCCTTCGGCTCAGGTCCTGATCCTGGAGTCCCGGGATAGAGTCCTGCATTGGGCTCCCTGCTCAGCGGGGAGTCTGCTTCTTCCTCTGACCCTCCCTGCTCTCACATTCTCTCTCTCTCAAATAAATAAAATCTTAAAAAAACCCCAAAAAACTCTACCCCCAACGTGGGGCTTGAACTCACCACCCTGAGATCAAGAGACTCATGCTCCACCAACTGAGCCACCCAGGCACCCCTGAAAGAGATTCTATTATTTTATTTTATTTATTTATTTATTTTCTGAAAGAGACTTTAGAATCCATCTTTCCATGGTTTCTTGGATACCTCTGTAAGGGAGACCAGGCAAGGGTCTGTTGAAAGGAAAACCAAGGGCCTAAGATGGGGTCACTTATGTCAGGCCAAGTCACCAGACCTGGGCTTTATACTTAACCTAATTGTAGTTTCAACCTCCCCCAGAAATGTAGTCTTAACTGGTCAGTCAGGAATTTTCTGGTCAGCACCAATCAGGCAATCTGTCACAAGGGCCCTCTCCGTACCCCCCACGCCCCCAAAGGAAGGTGAGGTCATCTGCAGGATAAGACCCCTCTGCCTTTCCCCCAAGGGAAGGTGACCTTGCCTGGAGCAAACCTTTCTTTTACTAATAACTTTTTGCCTCACCCTCCTTCCTACAAAACCCTTCCATTTTTGTACAACTCCTCAGAGTTCCCCTCTCCTTGCTGGTTGGGATGAAGATGCTTGATTCACGTATTGCTTAATAAAGCCAATTAGATCTTCAAAATTACTCATTTGAATTTTTGCTCTTTAACAAACTAAAAGCACATCCTCTAAAGGAATTTCATTTCTGGAGAAAGCCAGGGAGCAACCAGAGGAG